TTTTTTTTTTTTTTTTAAAACGTGTTTTTAAGTACAACACCATTAAAAAAATAATAATAATAATCACCTTTCTTACTTGACTTGAATCACTTACACAAATGTATCACGTCATGTAATCCGTTAGTCACATCATCAAGTCGGTCTAGTTTTTTCAACAGAAGTTAGTTTGGTGATGGATGAGAATGCAGTTTTGAAAATTTAGTGACTAACTGTATAGTTTTTAAAATTTTGTGACCCGGTGAAAGCTTTGGGTAAAATTCAATGATGGTTGGGGTAATTAACCCTACCTTTTTTTTTTAACGTGGCTCGGGTAATTTTTTTTTATTAATAAGATGTCTTTTTTTAAAAAAAAAAATGAATTTTTGGACGAGTCCACGAGCCGCTCATGAAAAAAGGAGCTGAGCTGGGCTCTTGCTCAAAGACGAGCCCTAGCGGCTCGTAGCTCGATGGCAACGAGCTGGCTTGGCTTGATTGCCACCACTACTTCCACATTAACATAGACAACTACATCGCTAGAATATTTATTTACCATGGGATAGAATGGTCCAGCTTCATGCCTAAACTCTTGGCTTACAATTTTTATGTGTAATGTTGTGTGCTCAATCTAATCAGTACAGGCAATGTGTCAACTTTTTCTTTAATTGTACAATCTTCTAATATCATGCAAGCCATACCGTCATGTATTTTATCTCACACCTTGTCTCTTTTATTGTTCTCGCTTCCATCGTTGATTAAAATTGGTCTCCTTTCTCTCCTCTAATACTACTTTTCTTTTATTACAATAAAACATACCACCTAGTAGAGTGCATGAACGAGAAATGAAGTGCAATGTGAAACAAAGTTCAATTTGATGCAACTAGTTTCGTTGTTTAGTAGTATTATTTGTAAATTCACATATGGACACCACAAAATTTAAAATATGTTGTGAACCATCATTTATATCAATTTTCATCCAATTTCTCAATAAAAATTCCTGAATTAACCAATATACCCTCATATTTAAATAAAAATAATAATGAACTAATTACAACTATTATTCCAATTTTTTTTTTAAAAGTGCAAACGAGTCCTAAATAAATTATGAAAAAAAATATAAATTAAAAAAAAAAAATTAAAGAGTGCTAATGAGTCCCAAATAAATTATTAAAAAACTAGACATTTAAAAGAATAATTTTCTTTTTTTCTTAAATAGAAGGGTGTATTCGTTATTTCATAGTATTTATTGAAAAATTAGAGGAAAATGAATATAAATGATCGTTTGTGCAATCAAATGTGAAATTAAATGTGAAAATGCCAAAAAAATAAAAAAGTATTGACTTTTTGACAATAATAGTGAAATGTATTGACATTATGTGTTAATTACCCTTTTTAATAATTTATATGGAACTCGTTTGCACATTTTTAAAAAATTTAAGACTAATTGCAATGAGTTTTTTTTTTTTCTTTTTCTTTTTTGCTTTATTTAAATAGAAATGTATGTTCTTCGTTTCACAGTTTTTAATTTAGAAAATGGATGAAAAGAACATTTTACACTATGAAATGTGAAAATATTAAAAAATGAAAGGTATGGACATTTTTCACAATAATAGTTTGTTTCTCGTTTTTCATATATAAAAATGAAAAATATAATCGTTATCCATCACATCAAGTCAACAATTTTAAATTTCTATATCTTGTGTGGGGTCCAATAACGACTATAATTTTCGTTCTCATTCTACAATAATGAGAATCAAACATGCCTAAATAAATGTGACTAAAAAAGGCTGAGAACACCTCGTCAAGTTTTATAATATTAAGCCCTTGTTTTGTGTAAATTAAAATCAAATTTTTAGTAAATTTTGATAAAAGTTGATTGTATAGTTAAAAAGTTGTGAATACTATAAAGTATATAATTAAAATTAATTGTTAATTTTAACTTGAAATTAAAATCAAATTTAATCTACATACCAAACAAGGTTAAGCTTCTCTATAAAATAAAGTTTTACTGTGTATGGTACTCGAATCATATTGAATCATATTTAAATTCTCCTTCATGGTTGTATTTTAGTGGATCCTCATCAGGACAAAAAAATTGCTCAAAAGTTGTTATAACTAAAGAGTGAATTTAGTTACAAGTAAATAAGTAGGTTTACAGAAAATAATAGTTCTAATTTTTTTTGAGATTGAGGTAATTAAGCCTTACTTTAAATTTATCCAAGAATCACTAAGTGGATCAAGTAAAAATAAAATATTAGATAGTGACGGTTTAAATTGAGATAAATGTTAAAAATATTCAAATTTTACTTTCTTCATTTGGTCCGATCTAATAGCTGTGAAAGATGAGTATGCTTCCAAAGAAGTTGTACGTATTATTTACACCTCTCGCATAGCATAGCATATCACATGCTAGTTGGAGGATGTCTTCATGATGCTGCCTTCCCAATACTGAGCAAGTTCCATCCACTGCAATACAATCTGTAAATCGTTTCTTTATAGTTTGTTATACCACTCTACAAATTGTTTTCCATCAAAGCATAAAATTATTTCGGCCCACGAGCTGGATTATTTACAACATAAAGTTCCCCCCCACCCCCATCCCCAGCCTTTTCAGTTCATGCAAATAACCAAAATAATATAGCTAATTACCATAATTTTGGCAGGATACAGGGGCAAAACGCGTCCATAATCAACTGATTCTCGTGAATTTCAAGCATATCGAATTGTAGCCTCAACTTATGCCTGCCCCACCTGCCTCTCCCAACTCAGATCTTCGGAAAATTGTGTCAATGCAGCTCGAGGATCACCATCTGACATAGATAAGTAGTACTGTGCAGTTCCATCATCAGTATGCATGCTCCTCTTCAAGGAGTCAACCACCTTTCTTTTGGCCCTTTCTATGGTCAGCCTATTCAAAATACTGTTGAGATTTCTTTCAGGGCTGCCTTCAAGATACAGTACAGCAACTTCCCTCTTTGCATGGATATCAAGCTCTATGTAGCATACTGAATTAACGAGGATATCTGGTTTCCTCACAGGAATCAGCAGCCTCTCCCTCGAGTATATCCCATGCTCACTCATCATGTTATTTAAGCGTTTTATGTCCATAATCTGTTGAAAGGAACAAGAATACACTTTTTGCACTTTCTTCAATGGTATTTGAAAAAAGTAATGGAGGAAAAGAGTATTGGAAATATTGTAAAAATTTTCCTCTAAAGACAACTTTTTCGAGACGCGTTAGAAAACAAATCAATTCAACATCTCTGTGTTGTTGAAGGACCCTGATATCAATCAGGGCAGACATCAAGTAGTGATGCATACATGATCCCACAGTAATCACCACTATTACAATCAAAATGATCCATAATAATTTAAAATTACTTGTACCCATGAACTTTCATATGTATTAACCATGAACAAATGACTTTGAACTCTCAGCCATAAAAACAAAGCAGAAACATATGAATTTCATGTCAACAAACAGAAGCAGCTAACTTAAATGTATGTATTATTTATGCAGCCTATAATTAACCATTATATAAAGGTTCCTTGCCCAATTGACATCTAGTGAACCCAACCTCAATTCAAAGACCAAGTTATGCAGTTGTCAAACATCAAAACAGCATTTTTTTAAAATACTCTTCTCAAAGTGTGACCTAACGCGCCTAAACTCGATATAGCATCTCTGGATTTGGCCTCATTATTCCCATCACATTATTATTTGTATCCACGGGGTAAATCTACTTGTTTTTTCTCCCTCCTCTATGAGAGGAATGACACTGTTGGGGGGCACAAAACAGCTTCAATTCAAAACCATCTTTGCACTCAAGCTGAATATATATACAGATCTTAGGTTTTTCTTCATAGTTTAATGTATTAACCCTATAGTATAGTCAAGCAAAGCTTACTGTAATAAAGTGATCCATCTCAATGTTATTGTCCCTCCAAATCCCTCAAAGAAAAGAAAATTGATTCCTTGTACGCTCAAACTAGCTCGAATTCCCAAGATATTAAATCCTCGAAAGCTTACTTCTTACAAAAATGAACAAGCCCTAAAACAGGGTTATTCCATCCGAAGCATACCAATTTCCCTAACTCAAAATATAATTAAAAACAGCATAACAAACCTGAACGGAATATTTGACAGCGAGGCTGGCGACTGAGTCCCCACGCGACAGCCGATGCGAAATGGCAAATTTGGAAAGCGAATTGTCTCTCCAGAAGCCACCGGAAGTCGGGTTACCAACAACATCCCGGAGTTTCCAAGGGGAAATAAAAGACTTGACCTGCATATCCCGATCGGCAGCCACGGAATACCAGAGCCTGCATACGCAAGCCGAACGGGCCAGATCGGCGAGTGACAGTTTCTCCAATATGGCGCGGAGAGTGTCCTTGCATAATAGAGCTGAGAAGTTAGAATTCATTGGTGAGATAACTAGATCGGTACACAGTAGAGCTTCGCGGCCGTCGTGGTGGCGAGGATTGAGGGGCCGGTGGAGGTCCGGTGGGGCCGCTGCCTCGTAGTCTTCTTCCTCCTCGCAGCAGCACCCCATTTTCCCTTTGTTTATTTTTTTGACTTTTGGATATGGGGACTGAGATTTAATGGGCGTCTACTAATAATGTGCACCGTGTGTGCGTTTTTCTTTTATTTTATGTTCCCCATCCGTTTGGACAAAATTTATAAATACATTCTCTCGCCTTTTTTTGGCACTCCACATGCGCGTTTTTTCCATCCCCATTTTTTAAATTATATTTTTCTTATTTTTAATCACATATTTTTTAATAAAATAATATTACAAGTAAATTAATTTTTTACTTTTATTTTGTAATCACACATTCTTTTGTTGTTATTGTTCAATAATCATGTTAAGAACAAAAATCACATATTCTGAATTACTAATTTGAAATTCATACATGCGGAAGATATTATTATGTATGAATATTACCAGTTAGATCTTTCTTTCCTTTCTCCTAAAAAATAATCAGTCGTCAATGGGTAGGCCAATAAACGATATGGAGAGAGAACCTAGCCAATATATAGAAAATTATAAAACCGACCTATTTACTGGCTCTAACCATAATTAGGGTTTACATAATTTCAACCCACATACTTAAAATTACCATATTATAATAATATAACCCGTAAGGTGTACAACGGCTCAAATGATCACTAACATATTGGGTCTTATCACAGTACCATTGCAAACCATACATCTAACCTGTAAAACTCGCAATCAAATGGAAGCCCACATAAAAGAATTCTTCTAACATTCTCCCACTTGGGCAAACATTTGATTGCTATAGAACAAAACTTTTAACTTCCGAGTCAGACTACATAGGTGGTCGCACAAATATAGCTGCAATGATAACATCTTACACAACATGATCCAGTCCAACAAGAATGTCAACATCGAACATGGAAACTGTTACACTAATCAAACGATAAAAGACCACTCTACAGCTACAAATGTCAACATCCTTATCGACATGGATCCCCATCCTCCTCCTCTTTTTCTTTTCTAGACTTCTCCTATGTTTTGGAATGATTTAGCTCATAAGTCATCAAGATTCCATAGGGCTCTTCCAAATGATACGTGTTGACATCTTTTGTGTCCTCTATTGTTCGCTTGAAAATATACCGCAAGTGCACGGATCGCGTACAAGTAATAAAGTGGACCTTTTGAGTTTGGGTTGTTGATCCCTAGAGGAATGTTTACTTCCGATTACACGGCTTTATTCAATTTAATTCCAACAAACAAATGAAACACACACAATTAAACATGATATTTGAAAAGCGGTAAATAAACTAAAAATCTACAAAATAAGAAAAACACAAATACTTGAAAATTTCGGATAAAGAACGTGGTTGGGATTCAGGGTTTCGTTTAATCATCACCTAATTAATTTTTCTACAAGCTAATTAATGAATTACTTATTTACTATGTTAGACATGATCTTCCAATTTTAGTTAATTACCTCTCTCGAGTGAAATTAACCATAATTGTTTGGTTTAACCTACTATATCTTTATGTCGATTACAACCAAACAATTGCATTCAATCCTAGGGTTGCTACTATTTGGTCTAAAATGCACAATGTTCTCTTGAACAATGTACAATTCACTAAATACAATCCTCTATTGGCTGCATAAATGAAAATACAATAATCACAATAGTAGAAACACATGAAACTAAGTAATTTAAAATCAAATAGCAAACATAGAAATTAATCAAGGCTATGTCAAGCTACTACCATAAATTCCAACAAAATCAACTAGCCCATTTTATACATATGATTAA